GGCTTCTAGCTGATTTGCCGGGGCTCCTGACTCCCACACCAGCATGTCAGTTGCCCTTCGGTCCTCAGTATTTGACCTGTTGGCCATATATAGTACAATTAGTAACTGGGGACATTCCCTGGGATTCACTTGTCTTCCAGAGAATAGTCTTTACTGCTTGCTTATGTGTTCATTTCCTTTCAGATCCACCTCGAACAGACAGTGGGAGAAACATGGTGCCCATTGTTATCTGCATTATTCTGGGGGTCCTTCTCTGCTTGGTCTTAATCATTCTGGCTGTGCAGGTGCGAAATGCCAGAGCACAGAAGAGAGGTATGTCCCAGTGAGTCTAAATGGTATAGAAATACCTCTCTGAAGTTGCAGTGAGACTTATAGGGTGTCAGAATGATGAGGGAAATAGTGGAAAAGCACTTATATGAGGGTGCTCAAACCCCAGCCTGTGGGCCAGATCCAGCCCTCAGTGCTGTGTTTTCCAGTGATCAGATGGGGTTTTCTATGCATCCTGCAGGAAGTTCTGTGGACTCTGGCCTTAATCACTAGATCAGGCATGCAAGGTAGCACAGGGCATAACCCTAGTGTTGTGGGGCTCAGGCAGGGACAGCATGGAGCCCCTAAGCCTGATTCCAGGAGGGCAGTGTGGCACAGAGTCCTGCACTGTCTACACCAGAGCTTTCCAAACTGTGTGCCGCGACACATTGTGTGTCGGCGACAGTGTGTAGGTGTGTCGTGCGAAATGCAGAAAATTTTGCGGAAGGGCACCGTGGAGCTCCCTTACTCGCGTCTGCTTCCCTTGGCCCCTCCCCCGGAACTGAATTACTGTGTCGCGAAATGATGCATGTCTAAAAAGTGTGTCACCAACATGAAAAATTTGGAAAGCTCTGGTCTACACCCTGCCAGGATCAGGCTCTTGCTGGGTGGAGGCAGGGCAGAGTTGCAGGGCCAGTTCCTGGCATACAGAGCTGGCACAGGGCCTGATTCAGCCTGCAAACTGGCTTTGTGCTATTCATCTGACCAATGGAGGCAAAAATGTGATCATCGATGACCTAGAACAATTGGGTGGAATACTGTAGAAATGTGTGAGCAGATAGATGTGTGAAAAACAGCTCTGAGCAACACTGGATAGTGAATTATACTCACTGGTGTCACCTGTAGGATTCAGTCCTACAGACAAATGCATCTTCAGCTACTACAACTTTGGAAAGCAGAGAAATAAGTGTTGTTACTCCTGGAAAGCAAACTTCATGTTGGGATAGGAATTATTGAAGCTGCTATGTGGGCAATAATGTGCAGTAATGAAATGAAAGGAAAACAAATATTTCAAGAGGAGAGATTTTGTGATGGTGGAACAGCTAAAGGAAACATCTCTAAAGAGGGGATGTCTTTTTAAAGGGGAAACATCAGTTGTCTAGACTGGGATATTTTCTGGGCTGAAAAAGAAGCAAAACTGCAGATAGGACATGGGGAAGAGAGAGGGTTTGATTATGTTTCCTATGTCCTGTTCTAATAACCACAAACTCTTTGCTTTCAGCATCCAAAAAATTCATGAAGCCCGTCTCTGAGGCTGTGTATGAAGAGCTTGATTACAGCCCAATGAAGGAGAAATACGAATTATTTGTTCATTCAGGTCGGTGTGTTGCATTCCTAATACAAAGTCACTATCTGATTCACTTCCTATCCTGAGATCTTGAACTAGGCCTAATTCCCTGCAGTTTTCAACCCCCAGAGGGCTGGAATGCTGCAATCACTGGTTCTGCCATGAGACCAGCCAGTAACTGGACTTCTGTCAATGAATGCCCCACCCCGCTTATGAACCAGATGTTGCTAGTCCCAGCTCTAGGGACAATTTCTGTCACATTGTCCATGCTGCAGTTTCAGAGTATAAGTGTGGGACAAGAAAGCATCTGTTTCTAGGGCCAGATCATTTGAAAATGGCTTTGGAACATTGGAATAATGATTATTCACTATCCCCTTCCCTTTCCTACAGTGGTCAGTGATCTGCTTGCATGAGTTCACTTTCCCTTGATGTTTCTTCCACCATCATCCTTTCTCTCCCAGTGTGGCACTGATTTAGTTGTATGGCAGAGGACAGAGACTAAAGGGTATAAACAGATGTCACCAAGTGAAGTTGATCAGTGTGGCAGGATGCGTCTCATCAGAAGCTGATCTGGTTCAGTGGGTAAAATGCATGTTCCCCATTGTCCTGCACCGATCAAGGACAATGATCCTGTGGGGCAATGGTTGATGTGTTTCTCACTTACATGTGGGGAGCTGGAGGAAAAGCAGGGGCAACATTGGACCCCTGCAGAACCAGATGGGGCAACTGACAACTGATGCCCAGGAAAAAGCCAACCTATTAAATGGGTACTTTGTGTCGGTCTTTCATCAGTCCCATGGGACGCCCATGCCCGCTACGGGACAGGGAAGTCCGGGTGAGGGTGATCCCCTGCCCTCCATTAATGCTGACTTTGTGAAGGAACATCTTGAGAAGCTGGATACCTTCAAGTCAGCCGGCCCTGACAATCTTCACCCCAGGGTACTCAAGGAGCTGGCGAGCATCATAGCCCAG